TTTATGTTAGAGTTTACCTTCGCAATGTGATTATAAATGCTTATGACATGATAAGTTCAGTGATTTGGCAGGTGATAAACTTTGGTTAATAAAGATTCAGTTTAAGACTAATTAGCACGATTGATAGTATATTAACTTGATTTTATCCAATCAATCATGTTTTTATCCATTACCGTACGTTGCACCATCACTCGTCGGAACTTTCCAAACGTTCCAAACTTCTGGTCAACTCAAATTCGTATCATTTGGTCAATCTATATTTCACTCATGCTCGTTTTCGACCCTTCTTCTCCTTCTTGACAGATCGAATGTCTGTATCCGTAGAAACAATCCATGAGCCGTGCAATACAATATAACCAACTATTCCACAAGTAAACTCCTCATGTAACTGGTGACACAAAGGATAAAATTGTCGGTCTTATGACTCTTAAAATAGCTGCTATGATAAACACCATAAAGAATTTCGTAGGAATGAAAATATTTTTATTCGTATCTCTACAAAATACGAATATGATGCAGAGGGGAAATGATACAATTGCAAAAAGCTGAGAATAAAAATTAAACTTGGCAAAGTAGTGCATTGGTTTAAAATGCGGCAGGCTGAAACGTTGTCAAGAAGAAATGCATAGAGCGATGACAATACTAAAAAAACAAGTGAAATTTTCAAAAAGTCATATGAAGACATGTTTTCAACAGGCAATTGATACATTGGAATAAGATGAAAACTGGTCAAATTTCGAGACTTTCGTAAACAATCAAAAAGATTAAGTGAACCAAATTAAGGCGTATTTCATAAAACAATATAAGTGAATTAATTAATGTACATATAAGCGTTCAATTAATTTATATGTACACGACGAAGTGATGCAGAAAAAATGCACATTGCGATATAAAGCATATAACCAAATTCGCAAGAATAATGGAAAGCAACATTTTGCAGATGTTGGAAATGATAAGTGACACGATAAAATAATGAATTTCGTGTGGACAATTTTCGGTTTTCTTATAAAATTCCCTTACACAATATTATGAAAACATGAAATTATTTCCAAAAAATTGAGATCACCTCTGAGATGAGTGTTACAAATTCAAAAGCCATGAAAATTCTAATCTCATTATTAAGATAAGAGATTAATTTCAATAGCAACGTTGATGAATATGAGAATTGCATTGGATTGTATTATATTTTTGTCGGTTTTTAAATGTTTCCTAATGGAATGGTCCAAAATTGTTGGTTATTATTTGCATTTCTGTGTTCGCGGCGTCTTGAATTCTGAATCGTCCACTGATGATGGCACCGTTGATCGAGGCGTCTTGAATTCTGAATCGCTGATTGTCGATGGCGCCGTCGTTCGAGGTGTTTCGAATTCTGAATCTTGCGTATGTTTTGGGGTGCTGAAATATTCTGGGTTCATCGTTATGATTATTGATCTGGTTACTATCATCACTATATTAGTGTCACCATTTGGAAGCATTAATTAGACAATTTTAGACATTTGGAAGCATTAGAATTCATAATTCAGGAGTTAGAACAGCATTCGAATATTTCACAAAATGTGTTTAGATGTGAATGAATAAATTAACACTCCACTGAATTTCTCAATTTATCGATGCCCATTCCAATGAATTACGATACACTTTTATGAATTTCTAACGAATCCTTCCATATTTCGATGCCAACTTTGATTTGGCGCAGATGATAGTTTTGAACGGAACCTTTTGACGAAAATCGGAGTACGCTGAATGCCGGATGTCGGTGATCTTGGATCAGTGAAGAGAACGCGATAAGGAGATGACGATTGATCTGGGGTTTGATTCGCCTGATCATTGGATTGATCACAATCCGACTGTTGATGTGCATCAATGTCCGGTGAATCAATATGATGTTGTCCACTGAACCACTGACCCATTGCTGACGAGACACAAGTTTTGTACACTTATTCACTTTATATGACAATCTAGAATAGTGATAATCAACTAGATTTCAACTATCCCCAATAGTGTAATTGATAAGTGGATAAATAAACGAAAAACAACAAGTTACTGCTATGATTCAGATAACATTCATGATATCTATATCTCTGAATTAATAAACTGACAACGGTTATTCGGACAACCAGCAATTGCTTAAACTAAATCTGATTCTCAAACTATCTAGAATCTATCCGGGGAAAGAACTAGCTTCAATCGCAAAATACCATCGATTAAGACATAACACAAGACGACCAATTGCAATGAATAGAAAATGGCATGCAATTAAACGAAGTTTAAATTCAAACGCTTAAACATTTCAGCATTTTGCAACTAAAATTTAACAATATAATGGGTGGCAATGGTTTATCAATGTGCGTTTTCATATCTGAAATTTTGCTTATGGTTAGGGTCGAACGAGTAGTCAATGGGCATGCACTAAAGCAGCAGCACGAAGCAACGCGCGTGAGCGCCTTTCAAACCTCTAGAAACAATGGAAAGCAAGCACATAACAGACATGTGAACCAATGTGCTTGTGACGGAGAGAGAATAATTTTATTGCTGCATGCATAAAAACTGATGGTTGTGGTCAAAACTGCTTGCTGAGAAAAGTGTGGTCGAAAAGAACCTGAGCGATTTATGAAACAATGCGATTTCGACTAGGAGAGTTAGCCGAGTGAGGAGGATTACCGTCATATTTGCACCTAACACTACAAATCATTTTAAGTGGGCACACATTGAAATTCTTCATGAAGACAGATGATTCCAAACGCTATTATCGTTAGCTGCGCGGAAAGAAGAATGCCAAGGAAGGAAGAATGTTTTGATATTAGTGATATTGGTAATAACAGAGAGGCATAAACTCGTAATGAGTTTGATTTGCTGATTAAATAAATAAATAAATAAATAAACATTGAAATTCTTCCATTTGATGTAGAGTTCCGGGTTTGTTGTGTGTGACCACTGCTTGGAACTTGGATTGCAGATATGGAAAAATTATGTATGATTGGAATTATCCATTTGTGCTTCCCATCTCCATCGTTCACATGTCATTTGTTCACATGTCAGTGCTTTCAAATGTTTCCGAAGGTGTGAAAATCGCTAATGCGCACCTCTCTCTACGCTCCACACAGCTTTTATACACACGCCCATTGGCTATGTACGACAACGCCGAAATTCTCGGTTCTTCGTTGAAAATTGAAAAGCTGAATTAATTAGCAGGAGGCAGGAAGAAGACTGCGATTCCAGCGTTCTGGATGGATCGAAGAGGTCCCGGAAGTTCAGTGTCTTCATGCCCGTCACCAGCCAGGAGACAAGTATTTCCAGCATGTGCCATTGAAGCCCTTGAACAGGTAAGCTCTCAAATTTATTACTTATATCACAATTAATGAATTAATATTTTATGTAATCACGTAGATTTACTGTTCTGCTAATTACAAGAGTGATGTGATAGAAATTAATTGATGAATGAAATGAAGGTAACGAAAATATGCGGTCAACAAACGCAAAAATGGCGTGGTCCGGCTGGTGCGACAGCCGTTCGAAATAACGAACTGCAGCATTTGTTGGATAATGATTTATTTTTCGTGTCGGCTCGTCGAAGGGACTTGAAATTGAATCCGAATCAACAATTTCAATTGCTTGCCTTGTTGTGTGAATATTTTAATGTTAGTTCATTTATTTATTTCAAGTCTTATTTATTCTGCTTATTCACTTTGGTATTTGTTTTACTCATGAGCATTCATATACTTAGCTGAAGTGATTTCCAAATTATCAAATTCCAGCTGATCTTACAAGTATGTAAAGCACTGATGGGGCATGTAATAATTGATGAAATATTTAAGGAACGAAGTTCCGAACCTCGTGGTCATCAGTATTACTATTTCGAAGTGATATTTTGTGGAAGAGAAGGCGAAGGTTTGCTGCATGATATAAGAATATCAGTCCTAATGAATCTGTGTTCTTTATCGATCCAGTACCCGTGCTATTCGTTGCTGAATCATGTCTCACAATGGCTTCATAAAGTTGGTTCTCGTAAGAATGTCACTCATTGATAACTCAGTGACATCTAAAGTCGTGTTTATCAACCGTAAAATTTTGTTTTACGTTTTTCGGAATTTTCATTTCAAATGAATAATATCAATTATTTTACGTTCCTCACGAAGAATGCTGATACCGTCCACGGTTTTTGTGATTTTCTGATTTTTTTGATATTTACAGATCGGAAGTGGAAAATCTTACGCTCAACAAATCATAAATCTCCTCGTTGATCACTTCATAATGTCACCATCAGATTGGAATTTGGTTAGTTTTGTAAAGATAATGACATTTTTGAAAATTTCAATAATCATTTGCTAATAAATTGAAAGAAATAAACAAAGTTGATGGAAAAACTTTATTAAACATATGCTGATTATCCAGAAGAATGGGAAAACTCATTTGATGACACCGCATTGTGAGCATCTGATCTGTACAAACAACTGATCTTCTAGTCGTTCTGATTATTATGATTCTATCCCGGGTGATATTTGAATGAGTTTGCAGTGGAATATCAATTTCAGCATGAACATTTACTGCCACTCGCTGATGAAGTACCCGAATTTGTATCCTATTTTGTGGCCTACTCAGTAACGAAAACAACAATTCGAACGGCGCTAATTGACGTTCTAGCACATTGGCTAACTGGTGCGCAATCGAATAGAATTATCACGTTTATCAAAGAAACACCTACAATCACGAAATATTTCGCTAATAACGTAATTCTTTATTTGTTAATTTAATTTTTGACTCCGTCAGTCGGATGATGAATTAACAAAAGCCATTCGGATCAAATTTCATTTTCACTAATATTTCGTTTCTTCCCTTTCTTATGTTCCAAATTATCGTGGAAAATTTTTTGATTTTGGATATTTTTTGTGCTAATTTGATTATAATGTTCATTTTAGACATTCTGGTTGTTGGTTTTGTATGACTGCACGAGTAGTTTTGGTAGTAAAAGTGTTCTACACGGAATAACAACT